AATATGTACTCGTTATATGACTTGTTATACTGTACTTACTTTTTTTGTGAGTGTGTGCTTCAGAAGCCTTTACGGTCTTATCCAGTGCCGGATCAAGGGTAGTCTATGGGGGGGGTTATAACCCTGGGCCCCGCAAATTTAGGGGCCCCGCAAATTTTAGAGGATCTTTTTTTTTTTTTAAGTAATTTTTAGGCTCTGGCCCATAAAAAGACCCATAAAAAGATTTTAAAATTATTTAAACTTACTATTTTATTATTACAGAAACCTACAGAAAGACAAAATCTTTTTAAATACAAGTATTTTATATATTACAAACAGTAATATATAAAAAGCAGACAACCTGATATCGCCTAGACACTTATCTCTTACGTTAGCAACTGTTGTAATGCCACCGTTAACTTCAATCGACTCATAAGATGTATGACTATAATTGAAATCGCCATATAGTAGCATTGCCGATCAGTTTATATTAGGAGGTATCTGCCGAGCGGCCGTTATCTATGTGATACACTGAGTAAGAACCTGATCATTAAGGTCGTGAGGACAATATAAGCAGCCGAGAAGAAACAAATTTTTACAAGTTTTTGTTTTTTTAAGATTTGCTCAATTGATGTTGAGTTGTGCTGATTAAAATTAACTTTATTCGTTATATTCGTTGACAATGATATCATCTTTTGTGTAAATGGGAACTCCGCCGCCACATTCCGCCTGTCTCTACCTTTGCGATGTGACTGGTAGACAGATATGGCAACGTCTGATAAATTTTTAAAGCAAATATTAGCAGAAAAAATGACGTGTACAACTAGATTTAGGCAGAGCAGTCTGGTCAATAGCTCTTGACGTTTGTAATTATTAAGTGAGCATGGGTTGTTTGGATCTCCATCCTTACCAATATTGCATATTGGGTTAAAGCCGACATTAAACCACAGACCTTCTAGTTTTGAGCCAGAACTCTAACCACTGCACCATAGTTTCTCGTAAAATTCTGACAAATGTATATAAATATATATATATATATATATATATATATATATATATATATTTGTAGCTACTGTTATATCGTTTTGTCAATAAAAAACTTTTATTATTTTAATATAACTTTGATATCGAATCAACAGTGTCTATCAAAATGGGTAATTATTTATTACTTGTTAATTATAATTATTATTCTTGTTAATTATTTACAACAAGTTCTGAATCCTGTTTATAATTGAAGACTTGTATCAACCCTTGACTAACAATATTTGACTGCTGATGAAAACTGTGATAAACTATAGAAACTTCCAGAACTATCTAAAAAACTTATTGATAACAATCTGTTTTTTCAAATGTTAAAATGCTCTGAATTTTTTGTGTGTATTATGCCCTCCAAATTCTGTTTTTAATAATTACTAATTATATAGGGGAACCTTTATTATCTAAATTTAAGCCAATAAAAATAAATAAAAAATAAGCACAATAGGGCAGAACTCTTTAAATTAAAATTCTCTTATGTGCAAAGAATATGATATCTTGGAAAACATTGATGTTGACATTATCATTAAAGATTTTTTTGAAAAAAAAAATCTAAAGATATTAATTATGCTTGTTTTGCTTGTGGTTTAATATTTCAAGAATTAAAAATATTATTTAAGATATAAAAACTTGTACTCTAAACGTTGGACTATACTCATTCAATCAACGTTGGATTCATATTCATTGAATCAACGTTGGATTATACACATTAGATCAACGCGTTGATCCAACGTTACAACGTTAGATTTAGATTGTAAAAACAATGAACGTTTGTGATATTTTTACATACGTTGCACCAATGTAACTGTGCAAACTATTTTCACCTGCGTCGGTATTACTCTAATTAAAATCATAAACACATTTCATTGAATCAACGTTAGAACCAAATATGTTAATTAGTTACAAATAGTTAATTAATTAATTGCACATTCTAACATCAGGTACAATACCTGTTTGCTTTCTTTATGCTATCTTCCTATTTTGACTTCTGACTTTCACTCTAATTTACTTTATTCTTCACTTTAAATTCATTTAGTTTTGGTACGTTAAAGCGGGTTATGATGCTCGTTATTAAGCTGAACTTATATTCGCAGGTCTTAGTATGTGACCTCTATATGGTAATTATACGGAGGAGGATAAACCACAATAGTTGGATTTTCAAAGGAAAAAAACAGCCGATGTTCGCAATGGTTTTACATACGTAGGCTCAATGTATGTGTGCTAGCTGGAATGTTTAGAATGTTAATTACTTTAATAACTATTATTCTATTTTAAATTATTTTGTCAGAAAATTAAATAAGGATGAAAACTTTATACCAAAAAACTAAATAAGAACAAAAATTGTGTTTGTATTATCTAGCAGTTACTTTAAATAAATGTATTTTATTTTTTAAGCTTCAACAAACTCTTCTCCCCCTACCCCTACCCCCAAAAATGTCTGCAAGCCCACATATTAGAAGCCTGTTCATACTTGTGCCCTGTCCATACCTGTACTAGAGTTAAGATAGACCTGGTAATCAGTTTTAGAAAGGCGTTCAAAAGCGTTAAAAAATGGTAAATAATGAGATCAAAGAGGTCGTCACTTCTTTAGTACATCATCTGATTATGGTGATGCATAGAACGAATACAGAACAAATAAGAACAAAGTGAAATTTTATAAATGGTGTTTGTATCCATATATGTATTTGTGAATAAAATTATAAAGAAATACAAAGACATAAAAGTTCTTTTTAATTAATTTTATGAAGAATTATACAAAAAATTGATTGATTTACAAGTAATAGACTCTCTTTGAATGTAGAAAAAACTATTTTTTATTTTACAAACCTTCTAAAGGTGATAATGTTCCTCTAAAATTAACCTAAAATTACACCTAGCCATAAAAAAATTATTAAAAGGAAATCAACTATTGATTTTTTTATTGATACTTTTTGTTTGTTTATAATTTTATCTCTCACTGTAATATTGTATGGTAGTAGTATTACGGTACGTAAGTTAAAATAACTTACGGTACGTACGGTAAAGTAAGGTAAAATAACTTACGTACCTACGGTAAAGTAAGGTAAGATAACTTACGGTACAATACGGTAATGTAAGGTAAAATAATTACGATACGAACGGTAAAGTAAGGTAAAATAACTTACGGTACGTACGGTAAAGTAAGGGAAAAATAATTACGGTAAAATAAACTTTAAACTTGCTTTACATTTGAAGAATATTTGGTGCACACAAATCGGAAAAATCACTTGTAAAGAAACATAAAGCTTTTAAATATTAATATACAGCAAAAAATAACTTTAATTAAATTTTAGTTTACATTATTTACATGTCGTGTAATATAAGCATATAAACTTGGAATCTGGAAGAAAATCATATTTGATCTTGTCGCCAGAACCATATAAATATTACAATATAAATATAATATAAAATAACACAGGTAGTTTTAAGACGTTGCAATTTACTTTTACCTGTGCTTTCCCAGGCAATATTTGCATAGTTTATATAGCTATGAATAAATGAGTAGTAAAGTTGTTTTAAATTATTTTTATTTAAACTTATAGAGGATTCCAATACTTTTTACTTTCCAATAACTTCTGATAAATTTGTGACTCAATAGTTTGAGTTTTAGTCAAAAAACTTTAGATCTCCAACCGCTCTCATACCGATTTCGATCCAGATCTCCAACCGTTAAAATGACCAAAACTCCAATTGATTGCGCTATCCAGTGGGTTTACGACATTGATCCAACGTTTGATTTATGTTGAAAAAACTAAATTTAATAAGAACATTGTTTACACTAACGTTATTTTGCATCGTAGTTACAACGTTAAAACAACGTTGGTTATACTAATGTTGTTTTTATTAGCAGAATTTGAAAATGTAAATAAATGATTAAAAAAAATTAAACACGTTTACAATTTTGGTTGCTGTAAATTCAAAATTAACTTTATTTTGCTTGAAGATGATAACTACAGCTAGATTGAAACAGTACCCTTTGAATAACAGTACCCTAACCGAAAAGTAGAACAAGATTTCTCTCACAATTATTGGCTGCTCGAGAAACTTACTCAAAAATTTACATGATTATATTTTTCTCTTGGATTGCTGTCAAATCTGTCAATGGTCATCATTGAGAGAAAAAAAAAATTATATTATACGGTAATACATTAGAAGGCTAGTGGTAAAACTATTTGCTCGCATTCAAAAAATTTGTGTTTTAAAATCATTTAACGCCTGTGAAAATATCGCGCTAAAACTATTCTCCGCGCAGTACCTTTGTTTAACAAGGTTCGTGTTTTAGAGTTTTGGGTGAGGTTTTGAGTGAGAGAGAGAGAGTTTTAAATCAAAAAAAAAAAATGAGCATCCTCTTCTTAGACTGTAATAGCCTCCAGAGCATGCACTGTTTACCATAAAAATTAAATTGATCTAGTAAACTTTTATTATGAAAATTGATAATATTATATATTCAGTTTTGTATCGTAGACATTTAGATAGAAAACTTTTTTATTGTTACCATACATGTCATATTGATAACTTTCAAATTGTAAGCTTAGTGGTAATGCAATTTAGTTTATTTTGTTACTAAGGTCACAGAACTAACCTAAGCAATGATACGACGGATATTTACTTCGTCGTTTTGACAATCATCAAAATAAGTTAAATGAATAGGGATTGACACAAAATTGTAAAATTTTAAAATATTCCAAAAACGTTTTAAACTTATTTTGGTCAGCTATATATAAATTTGTTTAACAACTTCTGTCAGAAAATGTTGTGCGAAGAGACGTTACAAAGAGATTATTTAAAAAAAATTATGCTAAAATATTATTAGAAAAAGATTAATAAAGAAATGCCGTAATGACTCATTTTTATGTTTTCAAATATAGCAATAGGCTTAAGTGTAAATAATAGATTTAAACAATCTTTGCATTATTTTCAAATCCCCTCATTAATTCAGCCATAATTCAAATCATTTAGTTAGTGGG